AGGGTCCAAAAACACATGGGATTTGCCACATTTCTGAAATTCGGTGCCACCCCTCACGCAGATCCGCGGGGTCAGGGTCCAAAAACACAAGGGATTTGCCACATTTCTGAAATTCGGTGCCACCCTTCACGCACATCCATCGCAAGGCGTGGTAACCCAAACTGCGAGAACTCCCTCGGCCCTTTAATCGCAAGGTGTGGTAACCAAGCCCGTAAACCATACACGTCTTACCAATCGCCAGGTGTGGTAACCCCTCTTGTGATCAGTTGGTTTTGCTGATTGCGAATCGGCTTCGCATGAAGTTTCGATACTGCTTCACGACAGCGCCAAGGCCTCATGACTTAGCTCTTCCATGGCCCATTCTCCGAGAGAGGGGGCCGGCGGCAGGGGGCGAAGCCTTACGGATAGTAGTAGTAGTAGCAGTAGTAGTAGTATAGTACAGCGAGTAGTTAGTATATTAGTAGTAGTACGTCGTTCGTCGTCGTCGTCGTCGTCGTCGTTCGTCGTCGTCGTCGTCGTCGTCGTCGTCGTCCGCGTCGTCGTCGTCATCGTCGTCGTCGTCGTCGTCCGTCGTAGTCGTAGTCGTATAGTAGTAGTAGTAGTAGTAGTAGTAGTAGTAGTAGTAGTAGTAAGTAGTAGTAGTAAGTAGTAGTAGTAAGTAGTAAGTAGTAGTAGTAAGTAGTAAGTCGTAAGTAGTAGTAGTAGTAGTAGTAGTAGTAGTAGTAGTAGTAGTAGTAGTAGTAGTAGTAGTAGTAGTAGTAGTAGTGTAGTAGTAGTAGTAGTTGTAGTAGTAGTAGTAGTAGTAGTAGTAGTAGTAGTAGTAGTAGTAGTAGTAGTAGTAGTAGTAGTAGTAGTAGTAGTAGTAGTAGTAGTAGTAGTAGTAGTAGTAGTAGTAGTAGTAGTAGTAGTAGTGTAGTAGTAGTAGTAGTAGTAGTAGTAGTAGTAGTTAGTAGTAGTGTAGTAGTAGTAGTATAGTAGTAGTTAGTAGTAGTAGTAGTAGTAGTCATAGTAGTAGGTAGTAGTAGTTAGTAGTAAATAGTAGTAGTAGTAGTAGTAGAGTGGTAGTAGTAGTCGTAGTAAGTAGTAGTAGTAATAATAATAGCAATAGTCGTAGTATCGTAAATAGAACAGTAAGAGTAGTAGTAAGTAGTAGTAGAAGAAGTAGTAGTAGTAGTAGTAGTAGCAGTAGTCGAAGTAGTAGTAGTAGTAGTAGCCGTAGTCGTAGTAGAAATAGTAGTAGCAGTAGTAATAGTAGTAGTAGTAATAGTAGTAGTAGTAGTAGTAGTAGTAGTGGTAGTAGGAGTGGTAGTACTACTACTGATGGTAGTAGTAGTCGTAGTAGTAGTAGTAGTAGTAGTAGTAGTAGTAGTAGTAGTAGTAGTAGTAGTAGTAGTAGTCGTAGTAGTCGTAGTAGTAGTAGTAGTAGTAGTAGTACTAATCGTAGTCGTAGTAGTGGTAGTGGTAGTAGTGGTAGTGGTAGTAGTGATAGTAGTGGTCGTAGTAGTAGTAGTAGTAGTAATAAAAATAATAATAGAAATAGTAGTAGTAGTAGTAGTGGTAGTAGTAGTAGTCGTCGTCGTAGCCGTAGAAGTAGTAGTAGTAGTAGTAGTAGTAGTAGTAGTCGTAGTAGTAGTAGTAGTAGTCGTCGTAGCAGTAGTAGTAGCAGTAGTAGTAGTAGTAGTAGCAGCAGTAATAGTCGTAGCAATAGTCGTAGCACTAGTAGCAGTAGTAGACGACCGTACGACCACCCAAGAACCTCATCAAGAAAATAGCAGTAGCGACGACGCTGAGAGCAACACGCCCCAACGAGACACGACAGACCGGCACAGCGAGAGCAACGACAACAACAATGACGAGGACGCGATGGAGCCGTGGGTCTACTGCATCCAGCGAGCCACGCGTCGCGCAGAGCAGCTCATGCAGCACCACCAAGTTGAAAACTGGGAGATGATTCACAGGAAGAGGTTGTGGCGCATGGCATCCAAGGTAGCCTACCAAGAGCCCACAAGATGGACGCGGCGAACACTCCACTGGCAACCAGGAGAGAACCCACGCCAACGTGGCCGGAGACGCCACGGCGGCCAGCGCAAGCGCTGGGACGGCGACCTCATCAGCTTCCTCCGAGAACAATGACCCGACCTGCAACCAGCGCCCACGCCAACCAATGAGCAAGGCAAACCAAACGATCTGACCTGGGTTCGCTCAGCTCACGACACCTCCACGTGGTCGACACTCGAGCACGAATACAGCAGCACATTGCCGACAACCACAACCAGGACTTCCTCCTCCCCTCCTCCCCCGTCATAACTTCTTGTGTGTTGCGCAGATTCAGAACTTTTGGTATGTCTCGCAATTCCTATGCATGTCTGCATGTCTACAGGAGGCCATAGCCTCACCCAGCTGGTCTTTGCAGGCCCGGACAAACGTCCGATGTGGTGGTTCGTTCGGCCGTCTTGAGGGCATCTTGGGCGTCTTCGGGGCCTCGTGGGACCGTCTTGGGCTCCCTCGGGACTTCCTTAGCCTTTCGTGGCCTGTTCCAGGGCGGGCCCGGGCCGCCTCGGGACCCCTCTGGGGGGCCCTCTTGGGGCGCTCTTTGGGCAAACCTGGTTTGCCTCGGGAACCTCCTGGACCGCCTTGGGGCCCTCTTCGGGGCCTCGTGGGCTGTCTTGGAGCGATCTGAAGGGCCTCCGAGGCCGTGAGGGAGCGCTGGAGAGCGGCAGAAGCGAAAACGCCAAAATCCTTCAAAAACCATCGGGCAATAAATGAATTTGCCTCCCAGGGCCCTCTTGGGGAGCCTCTTGAGTCCGTCCTGGAGAATGTTGAAGTCCTCGTCGGGTGTCTTGAAGGCAAATCGGGCGTCTTCGGGGCCTCTTGGGACCGTCTTGGGCCTTCCCGGGAACCCCTTAATCTGCCGTGGCCTATCTCGTGGCGGGCCTGGGCCGCCTCGGGAGCTCTGGACCTCCCCCAAACACCCCGCTGGCACACACGGGGGGAACAGGCAGCGGCCCGGCCCCCCCTGGCCTTCTCCGATATACGTATATATATATATATATATATATATATATATAGGTATGTGTATAGATCGATGTACGTATGTATATTAATGTATATATATACATATATATATATATATATATATATATATATATATATATATATAAAAATACTAGAACGATCGCGCGAGCTTCGCGCGCGCTCAAGCTCTAGCTAGGCTGGATGGTCGAAGTCTTGGGGATCTCTATCCCATGACACTTCTTCTGCAGGGCTTCCAAGAACCACGAAGACGGCCCAAGTGGCTTCCAACACTTCCTACGGTCCACCCACGGCAGCTTAAGACAAGCCCAAATGGCACTTCGGGGGCCGCTTTATTCGCCGCGGCTGGACGTAGCCGGAAGAAGACGGAGGAGAAGGGGAGGTGAAGGGGTTCCCTGGGGGAGAAAAGGAGAAGGAGCATGAGGAGGAATTGAAGAGGGTGGGGGGAGCCGCAGAGGAGGAGGAACTGGAGGAGGAAGAGGAGGAGGTACATATGATATTTCCTTTCTTTTGCAAGCGTAGCGAAGCTGCCAAGCGAACTCTTTTTACACAAAACAAAAAGAAATAGACAAAAAAAACAAAACGAACAAACATGTTGGAATTTCAGTTTTTCTATTCTCAAGTGCCCTCGGGGCCTCTCGCGGAGCTCTTTTTGGCCTCCTTGGGGCGTCTTGGGGACCTCTTGAAGCCTCCTAAGGGTCTCCTGGAGCGACGATATCGGGTTCTCGGCTCACGTTCCCGATCCTGGGCCACCGTTGGGGCAACCTCGGGCCGTCATGGACCTCTCCTCGGCGCTTTTGAAGCCTATTGGGCCGTCTTGAGGCGCTTTTGAAGCTAATTGGGCCGTCCTGGGGCGATCCTCGGAGCCTCGTGGGGCGCTTTGCAGCGTCGGGAGGAGGAACAGGCGGAAACACCAAAATTGTCCAAAAGACTCTGGAAAATACACGTCGTTGGACCTCTTCGAGCTCTGTTGGGAGACCTCTCGGACGCCTCTTGGGTATCTTGGGAGCCTCTTGGGCCGTCTGGAAGCCGCCTTGGAACATCGAATGCCTTCGGCCCATCCCGCCTCCGTGACTGAGTTGTGGGTTACTTGGGGGCCGTTTGAGACACTGTTGGGGCCTCTTTTGGGGCCTCTTTGGGGCCTCGTGGGGCCTCTAGGGGGGCTCTACGGGGCCTCTTGGGCTCTGTTGGGGGCCTCTTGGGGCCTCCTCGGGGCCTCTTGGGGCGGAAGGCTCGACTTGTCGGTTCGTGTTCCCCCTCCTGGGCCCATCTTGGGGCTGTTTTGGGGCTCTCTTGGACGATCGTGGGCGCCTCTTCGCCGCCTCTTGTGCCGTCTTGGGGCACTCTTGGGACGTCTTGGGACTCTTTTGCGCCGTCGTGGGTCCTCTTTGGGTGCCTCGGCTGTCTTGGACCGTCGGAGGCACGAAACAGCGAGAACACGAACAACTTTAAAAAACCATCGCCAATAAACATACTTGTTTCGCCTGCTGAGGGCCTCGTGGGAGTCCTTTCTAGGGCATCTTGGCCGTTTTGAAGCCCTCTGAGGCTGTCTTCAAGCCATGTTGGCCCAATTCTGAAACGCTCTTGTGCGGTCTTGGGCTTTCCTGGGGCGTTCTTGGCCCATCTTGGCGCCCTCTTGGACGTCTCTCGGGCCCTCTCGTAGCACCCCTTCCCCTCCTTTGACGCGTTCTCGCACCTCCGACGGGTCCAAAACAGCCGGAAGAGAAATCAGTGCAATCCGGGGCCCCCGGGACCCCCTCCTCCTTTAGTGTGTACTTCTTATGTGTATTTGTGTATATACATACGCATATGTGTATATGTGTATATATACACATATGTGTATATATATATATATATATATATATATATATGTGTGTGTGTGTATGCCAATATTTGCTCTTCTAGCCCAAAGAGGGCGAGAGACCACCCCCCGAGAGATGCCGTCGGCACAGGCCCGGGGCGCCCACCACGGCCGTGGTCAGTCGCGTGGAGGCCGTGCTGCACACGGTGTCGCCTGGAGCGCGGGCCCAGGGGGGCCCGGAGGGGCTGGAGGGGGCGGGCCACTGTGGTGCGAATTCATGGGGCGTCGACACTGAAGGGGCCCTGGGACACACAAATACACACAGACAAATAACAGGATTCCCCATATTTTCTGGGCTTTTGTCTTCCCCCCATTTTCCATATTTCCCCATACTTTCCTGGGAGTCGAAGATTCATTGTGTCTGTGTGTTCTTTCCCTCCCTGAACACACATTGGCGGGGCAGCGACGGCTGCAGAAACGAAGCCCTGTAGGGACCCTCTTCTCCAGCACTCGCTGCCCCCCCCCCTTCACCGCCCCCCGACTGCGCGAGGCCCAGTGACGACACTGCTTCTTCACTCCGGGCATCGTTCCTCCGGTTCGGTCTCGGGGGTCCGCCCTCACGAAGAGCGAGGATCGAGTCCCTGGGGCGCTCTCACCTGGATCTTCTTGGGACCCACGGGAGCTCTCCGCGCGCCCCGCGCGGCAAGGGTGCTAACAAAAGCCAGGACGAGAATCACATCGGGTGGGGATAAGTCGGGAATCTCTGAGATCCGGCGGATCTGGAGGATGTCTCGGGCGGCGCGGCCTCCTCGGAGCGTCCCAGAACGCTCTGAGAGCGTGCTGGAACGCTCTGGAGGGGATTTGATCATCGTCGTAGCCCCGTCCGAAGAGCCCCGTATATACACGCGGAATTCCCCTGCATCCGGCGACGTTCGTCGTCCCTTTTGGTCTCTGGAAGACCGGAAAGCGTCAAACAACGCCTCGGGGGGAGAGCTTGCCATTGAGAGGGGGACGGGAGCAGCAAGGGCCCACACACAGAAGAGAGATGAGGCGACGGATGCCTGGCTTCGAACATCGACGCGCACAAAGAGAATGGGTCGCGGCCGTGGCCCGGAACAACCTCAGCGCCACTTCGCTTTCTCCAGCTGGATCTGGCATGCGCGCCAGGCCGCCCCCTAGCAGGGACGCCGAGGCGAGTGCAGGTGGCCGTGACGAGGGGACTTCCCGCCTCAAAGGCCCCCCACAAAAGGATGCGAGCGCGTCACGGCCCCGCTCCTGCGCTTCCACCACCTACGACCGGTGGCGGAGGGCCACTGCCTGGCGTTTCAGACGACCTCTCTGACGGCGCTCTGGAACACGACTTTCGGTTTTCCTCTTCTCCCGGCCCAGACATCCGACGTCATGACTCTTCCCACGCATGGCCGTCAAGACTCTTCCGCCTCATCCTGGGTGGTGCTCGCAAGACCCCGGAACCGGAAATGAGCCTGCGAAAGCGACAAGCTTGACAACACTGGCAGTCGTGGCTCGTCCTTGGCTTGTAGGAGGCCTGGAGGGCTTCCTGACCTACTCCTGGAGAGGATGGCGACACCCCATTCGACAATGGATCCCTTGTTGCCCAACCGCATCTGGCCGTAATCGGCGGTCTTTAGTGGCAATCGCCGGTCTTTAGCGGGTCCCGGATCAAGCTTGTTGGTTTTTCAATCAACTGCTTTTTGTTTAAGGGTCAATAGCTTCGTCTTCAGGGTCAAGTATCCTGGCAAGGGAGCCAACCACATGCAGTTGTGAATACCGCCGTTGTGACAACTGCCTTCGGTGGAGCTCCCGATGGGCACGAACCGCGCGAAGGGTGCGCAGCAATGGGGCGGGGCCGCCATGCGGGCGCTGCCGCCGGGGCCTTGGGTGGAGCTCCCTATGGGGCCGCGAAGCTTATGCGGGGGGTGCCAGAAGTGGAGGGGGGGGGGGGGCATGGCATGCGTACCGTGTCGCTGGGGCCTTCGGTGGGGAGCTCCCTCTGGGGCCACGAAACGTGCGATGGGGCCAAGAATCGCGCGATGGGGTGGGCCACGAAACGTGTGATGGGGGGTCACGAAACGTGCGATGGGGGCGGCATGGGGCGTTGAGTATCAAATTGGTAATCCTCTGCGCCATGGAATCGGAAAAATGCAGTGTGGGCCTGTCCGCTTTGCTCAGAGCTGGCGCTCGGCGCAGCCCACCGATCCCCAGCAGCTGGCTGTGCTCACGCTGCTGTTGGGGCTCCGAGCGGTGCGGGGCGCTGGAATGCAATGATAATAGCGCGGGTTGGGTGCGGTCGAAGCCTCGCCCGATGACTGCAGCCAGATGTGAGGAGGAGGATCGATCGATCGAGCTGTCGGGCCGATGTCTGGGTGACTGACGCTCTGGCTAGCTCTGAGTAGCTGCGTAATCTAAGCACGGCCTAGCTGTGTTCTCTGAGTAAACTGGTAGAGCAGACTTCAGTGGACGCTCGGGCCCGACCTGCACCGACCTCCCCCACGCAGGGGTCTGCGGGCAGGGTAGCACCCGCATTCACGGAGGTCGTTCGCTCTGCTGCTGCTGTTGGCTTCGCTGGCTCCGCTTACCCTTACCTCGTCCCTTACGCTTCGGTTCGGGAGGGGGGGGGAGGTCGGTGGTAAATACTGAGGAAAACGTGGGCCATCGAATTGGAAGATTTCGGGCACAGCATTCTGAGAAGGGGGAGGTGGGAGACGTCCAGACCTGACTATCTCACGGAACCTGGCGCTATTCTCAAAAACTCGTGGGATGGCCTGGGGAAGCTGTGGGGGAAGGACTGGGCGAATTCGAACACTGTTTTCCTCCTCCTCATCTCTCAGGTGTAGATCTCGAGCGGTCGTATCCTCTAGGTTCGCCTCCTCTGTCGTGCCGAAGTCGACTATCCGTTCACTAGGCGGCCGAGCTCCCTCTCCAAGGCGCCCCTCGGTGCCGACCCGATCTTGCGAGTGGCGCCATCCTTCTTGAGCTGGTTGGCCAGCACCGTGCACAGCTGGTGGTTGCTCTCTCCGAACTTGAACTGGGATCGGCACTTCTCGACCCCGCCGCCCTCTTTGCCCTTGTTGCGCCTGACCCTGAACACTGGTACTATGTCCGCGAGGGCTTCCGTGTCGTTCTTCATAATGATGTTCTCGTAGTGGCTCTTCATCTCGTTGAGCTGTCCGCCCTCCTCGAGCTGCTTGCCCAGGTAGGCGCACGTCTCCGTCCACACCTTCACGCGCGGGCTGCCCAGGCTGCCTAGGTCGACTTGTTCTCCGCCTCGCTGCCTCTGGTGGAGCTGCTGCGCCTCGTCGTTGTAGTGATTGCCCGCTCCGAGGGCCGTGGTAGCGATACCCGTCGACGTGGCGATTTCCCAACTTTGGATGAGTGCCGCCGCCATTTCTGCTTGCTCTCGTGCCACCGTGAGCGTGAGCCTCGCCGTGAGCCCCGTGATCTGTTGCTGGTTGCCTCCGCCGCCGACCGCTGGTCCGCGTAGCACTGGACCTCGTTGGCGGCTGCGATCCTCTCGTCGGACTGCGCCCCCTCCTGCCAGGCCTGGTGGAGCCTGGCCCAATGGCCTCTGGTCGAACAACGACATGGCGCATCCCTCTTGGCGGCTGTAGGAGTTGTCGCGGGAGATGCGTACGTAAGTGTACGAATTGCGCACCCTTGTCGAGAGAGAAATGACTACAGAGAGGGCATTGCGGAGAATGTGCCGTCGGAACATATTGATCCTTTGTTCTGTCTCTGTTGCATCCTCCTTTGATCATACTGCTTGCCAGATGTTTCCATGCCGTACCTTTGCTTGTAAATACTTGCTGGCAATTCAGGCACTCGTTGTTTGATGTCATCACCGCTGCTAAGTTGTGTACATTATGTGCTCGAATAATATGGCTATGTAGTGCTTTCTTGCTTGCGAATAATAGACCACATTCTGCTTCTCCGTGTTTAAGTTCACATTTCCATGGCTTCTGTTCTTCTAAAGCTAGCTCTTCTCTTTGGACATCTTGCTGCGTGTAGCCTGGTGGGGGGGCCGCCACTCCGAGTTTTGCTGCCCGAACTTCCCGAACATCAAGTAGATATAGTTGTTCCCGAACGTCTAGAGTGAAGAGCCTATCTATCGTGACGTTCTCGCCCTCGCCTAGCGTGTTGTAGTAGCTCTCCGAGACCCCACGCGCGTATCTGACGTCCTCCAAGAACCTCTGAGCCCAGGGATTCGTGTCGGTCCTGAGTTTGTCCTCGTCTTCGTTTGTCTCGAACCCGACCCCCCCGAAGAGTGCTACGATCAACTGCCTGCGATTGCTAGGGAAGCGAAGGATGTTTTTGAACCATCCGAGTCGGCGCACCAGTGCTTCCTCCGCCGGCGGCAATATTTGCCAATAGAGAAATACTTCCAGCGTGCTAAGGCTCCGGGCGCTGCCGTCTCTGTGACGCGCGGCGCCTCCTCGCATGGCTCGCCGAAGTAGTGCGCCCATAGCGCTCTGTAGCTGCTGGTACTCTCTGGGCGTCGGCAAGAAGCATTCGATGCGCCAGAGGCCTGTGTTGATCACCCTGCAGATGAGGACCGCTCGCTTCCACCTGTATGGTATATGCCCTTTAGTCCAGAAGCTGCCACATTCGTTGTAACTCTTTTTCATGGCCGCGATGCGCTTGTTGAGTTCTGCCCCATAGTTCTGTGTCGGGCTGATCTGTGGTCCAAGATATCGTGCATGTGGAACAACTTTGCCAGGTAGCTTGCAATCGGGCTTCGTCTTGAGCTGCTGGTGTGCTTTGGTCGTTCCTTGTCCTTGGAAGTAGACGATGTTCTCCTGCTTGTCTGCGTTCTGGCGCATCCCGATCGCGTCGAGCCTCTGGTTGAGCGCGTTGTCCACTTTGTGTGCCTGCGCTGCCAGATCTGCTGCATCTGCGCGCTTGTCGCCTAGGATGGTCTTGCGAAGGTCGTCCGCATACTTAGCTAGGCCCAAGTAAACTGGATGTTGAAATATCTCACAGCTCCCAAGCAACAGATCATCGTTCTTTAACTCTTTGTTGCAGTCCTCAATCCAGTTCTTGATGCACGTCGAGAAGCTGGCCACGAAGTTACTGACCATGTACGGGTCCCCTATCAGTCCTCCACAGTGTGGCTTGATGCAAACTCCGTCATCCTGATCGCGACATGGTATGACAAACGTAGCTCGTCGGTATCGCTGCGCTCCCAACTCAGTAGAGTCTTCTGGCATGATCTTGTTGTTGGTCTCGTCCATGGCTGTCCACGCGCAGCTGGCAAAGGCGTTCGACATGTCCTTCATCGTCGTGATGTAATTGAAGCCTGCCTGTCTTGCCCGATACTCGACGACCGCCATCGCCAATATGGCTCCTTCGCGCCGTCGTCCTCTAATGAAGCCGTAGTCCTGGTCAGTGTGAGTCTGAGCCTTCTGTCGAGCCATGCAGGATGAGTAAAATGCCTTGCCGATCGGGTCCATGATGTGGTATATCCTTTTTTCCTGCAGGGCCCGCGTTGTTGTTCTTCTTGACTGCTGTTGCCGCGCCCTGATGCCATCGTACTGGAGTTGCGTTCTTGAGTCTGATGGCCGCCAGTGCCGCCCTGAAGAGGTCTTGAAATCCTTCTGGCTGAGGAAGTGGTTGGAGTGCCCCCAATCCTTGTCTTTGCTGTTGAGGTTGTTCGTCTGTCTGACAAAGGAGCACTCTCCATAGCTCGTTGGGGGCCGCTGTCGGTGGCGCCGCACGTCGGAGTTTAGCCTTTTTTAACCGTTTAGCAATGCCCTCCATATCTTTCTCCACAAGTTCTTCTATGTCGTTATCATAATAGTCCATTTCATCTGCGTCAATGGGAATCTGTTCAATTTCTTCTCTATTCAGTTCTGTGCCTTCCATGCCTCCTGATCCACCTGGGAGCTGCCAGAAATCGGTCCACTCTTGCTTCGTGGGGTTGGCTGCGACCATCGTCCAGTAGTCGCGCTTGCGTGGTCCATATCTTCCGCCAGCAATCAATCTTGACAGTCGGCCCACGCGTGCGAGATCTCGGCGTTCCCATGCCTCGTACAGCTCCTCCACCCTGGCGTCCGTCTTCCGCTGGTACTCGAGTTTGCGCCAGGCTGCGCAGGTAGCAGTGATGTTCTTGAGTTCGGTCTCGACGTAGTCCAGTCGTAGGCGGCGGGAATCGAGTTCGCCTTCTGCTCCTGGCTGGTCTGAGTTCTGCGCGTAGGGGTTGTTGGTCGGATTTTCCCTTGGAATGTAGTCTACCTTGGCTGTGTCCAGCTTGGTCGAGTCTGCGATCGCGATGAGCAGGCTATCTCCTTCGCGTCGTAGTTGCTCTCGAAGGTCTCTTCGTCTTTTTAATAGTTCCATTCGTCTGTCCCGTAGTATCTGGTACTCCTCAGGTTTCTGTTGTCCCTGTCCATAATACTGTTGAGCCGTTTCGATGATCATCTGATTCAGGTCCTGGAACAACTGGTCTATGCCTTTGCCGTGCTCGTTGTAGTTCGCGACCTTTCCTTCCAGATCCTGGATGAATAACTCTGCGTGTAGTCCCTTGCGTGCTGCCGCTGCCAGTTTGTCTTTATCCAATCGTGCTGTATGTTGTCGGGCTTGTACTCTTTGCCGAAGTGGAATACGAACTGTGAGCTGCACTGGGACGCGATCTCGATGTCGTCGGCTACGAATGTGTTGCAGCCGTGTGCCCATGCGGAGGAGTGGTCCTTGAGAGATGATGCTGTTGGCCAGCGTCGTCGGCATCATGATGTAGTCTATACAGCTGGCCGTCGCTTCCCCGAAAAAAGTGGGTCTCCATGTGCCCGTCGTGTTGGTGACTGTCAGTCCGTGTCGCTCCGCGTACTGTCTGGCTTTGTGCCCCGCTCCGCCTGGTAGTTTCTCCTTCGCCCTGCCCGCTCCAAGCGAGTCGCTCTTCGGGTGTTCGTTCTTGCACGTGGTGCCTATGCCGTCGTTGAGGTCCCCTGCCGTGAAGAGGAGGCTGCCCCTGGGGCGTTTGGCTGCTACCTCGTCCATCCATTTGAATAATCTTGCCACCGTCGCGAAGTACTGCTTGCGGTCTGCCGTGGTCTTGGGCTGCGGCGGGCAATAGTAGCTGACGATCGTGATCTGGGTGTCGTACTGTACGAGTTGAAGTGCGAGGCCTCTGCCGCAAAGCTCCCCTGGAGGCTCCAGAACATTGATCACCTGCGCTCCTCTTAGTTTGCCCTGGAGCGCTATCATCATGCCCGTGCTGCGGTTGGTGAGTGTTCCCGTCCTCCAGCCTGCGTCGTACACTCTGGCTCCCTGAAGTCGACGCTGTTCGGGATGAAGTTCTCGGCGCCATCGTTGAGTACCTGCGAGGATGATGACGTCGAAGTTGGCCGCTTCCTCGATGACTTCCGGCTGCCTGTCGGGCTTCGCGGAGAGCGGGTTGAATAGCAGCAGGGCCAACGACGCTGTCCATGCCGTTGCCGCCATGCGGGCCTCTGCCCAGTTAGTTCTTACTCCACATGCTGTGGAATGGCGGTGAGTGTTTGTCTGCTGCCCTGACAATCACTTGGGTCCAGATGGCAGCTGAGGAGGAGGAGGAGGAGGAGGAGGAGGAAGAGGAGGAGGAGGAGGAGGGGGAGGAGGAGGAGGAGGAGGAGGAGGAGGTAGTCCAAAAAGGGGACGCCTCGCAGAGAGGCCCGTCCCTGCCCTGCTCTGGAGCCCTGCTGGTGGGGGAGGGCCCGACGGGACGGCGGCCCTGCCTGGCGTGGGGCCGCCATGCAGAGCGGCGCCATGTGCGAGGCCCGAGCTGCTGCCGGCGCTTGCAGGCCTGTCGTCCAATCCCCCCTGCCCTGACGCGGCATTCCACGTCCGACCCCAAGGGGCCTGCAGGGGAAAATGATTTCTTGGCTTTCCCTCGTGGGGTGCCTCGGCCCGGCTCTCTGCTGGCTACGGTCGTAACTCCGAGTTGGCCCGCTCTCTCGGTCGGGCCCGTTGCGCCGCCAGGCGTCCTGTCACAGACGTCGCAGACGTGGCCCCGGTCTGCCCACTCACACCACACAGATCCCCACTCCTCCGTATAGTCCTCCTCCTTCTACTCCCGGCCTTGGCGGTCTCCAGGGTCGCAAGGCGCGGTCGAACACCTATAACCTCGAGTATACGCCACGGTTCATCGATATAAAGGAGCTGAAAGAGTAGAAAAGGACGCAGACCCCAAATTGACAGATTTCCGAAGGCTTTTCTGCGTGCTGGGGAGTGTTACTATGTGACTTGTTCAGCGTCAAGAGGGCCCCATTAGGGGCAATGAGGACCCCAAGAGGCCCCCGAGACGGTTCAAGAAGGCCCCGAGTCGGGTCAAGAACGCTACAATATGCCCAAGATAGCTCAAGCCGTCCCAAGTGGTCCCCAAACGCAGGAAGAGGGCTCCAAGAGACTTTTTAAGAGGGCTCGAAGAGGCATAAACCATAATCTGTTTTTAGGCATTGGACGGATGTTTGCTTTTTCGCCGCCAGTTGCGGTTTCCGACCAGCCACAACGGCGCAAGAGGCCCAAGACGCCCCAAGAAGTTCCCAAGAGGGCCCCCAGGCGGCTCAAGCGGGACCCAAGACGGCCACAGAAGCCCCAGAGGGTGAGCACGAGCCGACCTTTCGAGCCCAAGAGGTTAGGCCTCCCAAGACATCCCTACGGGTATCGAAGAGGCTTCTGATCTGCAACCAAGGCACCGGGATGGGCCGAATGTCACTCGATATATTCCTCCACTTCCTCACAAGGCTTCGCAATTCAATGATATGTAATAGCGAGGCCTGGAAGAGTGGAGACAATCCACATTCCCGAGCAGACGGCGACTCGGACGGGGAATGGGGAGATCAAGGATATGGACGGCGACACAACGGCACAAAGGATATGGGAGGAGAATCGAGGATCAGGGGTTCAGGATCGAGAGCCGAGGTTCCTGAGTGTGTGTTTGCCTTTCCTTTTAGACCTCTGGAGGCGCCTTTGTGGTGAAAGGGGCCCCCCTTCCCCCATTTCCTCCTCTCCCTCTGGTCCTCCCTCCTCGACCCGCTGGCCCACAACGTTGTCCTCATTCCGTCCTCCCCCGTCCATCTCCTCCACTCCGCCCTCGCTCGTCCCTCCGCCCTTCCCCTCCTCCTGCATGTCATGGCCAGAAGACGGCTCATGTGTTGGATTTACACTGCGCCTAACGGATCAAGAAAAACGAAGATATCCGGACAGTGACGTGTACGAATGGCGCTCCTCCCCTCCCCCTCACCTGCTCATCATCCCTTCTCCTACCTCCATGGGGTGATGGTGCAGCACATCCAGGAAGGAGAGAACAGGCACAGACGGACAACACTTACAGTACTCGGCGGTGCTGAGAGCGAATCGCCACCTTCGTCTGCTCCCGAGAGTTCGCTCGTCTTCTGGACGCTCGTCTGCATCAGGCTCACGACGCCTGCGCAGCGGAAGAGGCTCCCCACCGACTTCCTGCACCTCCGCCTCACCAGATCCGGCCTCCCCCAAGAAACAACTTCCTGGTAAGTTCACGAGGTCTACAGTGAGCAAATCTCGCGCACACCACACATTGACAGCGCAGGGGCGCGTGCGATATATCCCGAAGGGCTCATGTCAGTAGGCGTTCCTGCAGCCACAGCGCTCCCCAAATCCACATCCCCCTTCCCCCAGCGTTCAGACAACAGAACAAAGGACCCCCCCCCTTCGCACTTTTTCCGTCGGCGGCGAGGCAGAAGCAATCCGCACCAGCGAAAGGGCAAAGCCTGTGGCACTACTAAGCTGATTGTCCCCCCCTGGAACGCACTCGCGCCCACCGCTTCCTCGTTGCCCTCGCGCCCCCTTGCCTGCGAGCTCCCCCGCGCGGAAGCCCAAACGCGGCACGCGGCGACGGCGGCCTGGCCTGGCCAAGCCACGCCGCCGCTCTGCGCACCGCGCAGCCCCTGCCCGGGAGGGCATGCAGTGCGAACAGGACAAAGGTAAGGAGCAAGGCAACGGCCAAGCCACACCGTCCCTCCTCGTTGACGGGCACCTGTGCGAGGAGGGGGGTTTACCCATAAGCACCGCCTGTGCATCGATATTCGGGGACCTCGAACAGGACAGAAGTAAGGGGCAAGGCAAAGGCCAACCCACACCGTCCCTCCTCGTTGACGGGCACCTGTGCGAGGAGGGGGATTTACCCACAAGCACCGCCTGGGCATCGATGTTCGGGGACCTCGGCAGGCAGTGGACACGTATAGAGATGCTTCCCCCCTTCCCCTCCCAGGGCCCGATATCCATATCCGCGGCCTGCCGATGTCCCCGAAAATCGATCCACAGGCGGTGGTTCTGGATACTTCATCCTCGGAAGTTGGAAGTTAGATCAAATCGGGGAGAGGTTCGACTCGAGCTTGGGGGGCCCGAATTGGCTTGACGGGGCCGTCTGGAAGATGGCGGGGCCAAATATGAATTTTGACACGAGCTCGCGCCACAGACGTCTCTCGGAAATTGGAGCGTCCAAATCCGTGCTGGGAAGGCCTTCTGTGGCAGCTCACGGGAGCCTCCCGTGCCATCTTGCCTGGCTCTTGCGGATCGAAGCTAACCGACGCTCATGGACGCTACACTGGCAACACTCGACGCTAGGTCGGCGCTCGACAACAAGACGCTAGCGCACGCCAGTGCACCCGACAAACACGGCATTGCGAGGACCTGCAGGGCTCCCAGGAGCTGCCACCGACACAACCAGCAGCACGGCTGCACGCCCAAGTCCTGCCAGCATCGACTCTCGTGCGCCATCGGAAAGGTCGGCAGGGCGGCCTGGCCGCGCGGTGCTCTTCGTGCACGCGGGCAGCGCTGCTTCGTGCACGCGGGCAGCGCTGCTTCCTGAGTACCTCGGCGGCGGCGCTGCAGACTGTAGACAGGCGCGCCCTGCTGGTAGCGCCACAGGCCTGGCCGCAGTTGCCGAGGCGGGGGGGCGACGGCGATCCGAGCCCTGGGCCTTCTGGACCTCGCTGCAGCTGCCGGTGTGGGCGTCCGCGGGGGTCTTCGGAGTCGCGCTCGTGGTAAGGTGCCTTCTAGTACCCCTGCCCCGCGCCGCAGGGTGACCGCCGTGGCTGCAGTGGGCACTGCAGGTGTTGTAGCCTGCCCCAGTCGTCCACGTAGTCCGCGGCGCTCTCCGTCGAACTGTAGCTCGTCTGTCGGTTGCTACTTTTTTCCATGAGGCAGTGCCGGCCTCCCGTGTAACCCTTGTAGCGGTAGCGCCTGCGCGCTGAGGGCATCGATGTGTTCGTGGCCTGCGCTTGTGGTCAAGTCGATCGCATGCGGGCTCATTTATGTTCTGGCTACGCCACGGTGCCCTGCATAATCGAATACCTGCGGGTGATAGCCAGGTATGGCTCGCAATGCCTTGACGACATGCTCCTCGTTGCCCTCCTGCGCACCGTCGTACTGACTATTCTGGTGCCAATTCCTCGGGTCGTCGGGCGTGCCCTCGTCGTCTTCGAGGCGCTGGCCCACGGAGATGCGCGTTGGCGTGTGACCCTGGCTGGAAAGCTGTCCAATCCGAGTCGAGCTCGAGGAGGGAGGCGGCGGCCACGAAGCAGCCAGGACAGCGGAAGGCGTGGGCCGCGGGCGCGCTGGAGGGGGGAGGGGCGGGCGGCGCGCGCACCGCTGCGCCACACACCATATCAGGCGGGTGGACGACGTCCACGAGCCCTCGGTGAGACCGAGGAGCCGCACTGCCAGTGAACGGCCAGGCCGCGGCGACGCGAATGCCGCACGCCGAGAGGCTGGGGCGCCCGCGGCGCCCCCTGGGAGGTTCAGGGAAGGGCAGCGTCGACCAACTCGTGGGGCTTGGACGCCGGAGAGGAGCAGCTGCCGTGGATTTACCCTGGAAGCTCTCCAGAAGGGCTTGCAGGAGCCAAGAGGAAACGCAGCAACAATCACGTACGCCCCGCTTTTTGTCCTGAGATTTGCCGAGCACGCATCGCAGCTGAGACCGCGACGTGCGAATATCTGCCACAGGGCTCAAAACGAATGTCGCGTGCGACGCGTCGACAGTTTCGGCAGCATGTTTGACTGTGTTGGCACAGCACTAACCCAAAAACAACCACGACCGCCCCGCGGTTGTCAACTTGTTGCCGGGCAAGTTTTGCAGTGGGGACCGCCACGCCCATGAGCTCTGCCGCCAGGTTGGGCGAGCTGTGCCGTGCACGCTCTGCGGTGCAGGATGCGTGGTGGAAGCTGTGCGGTGCAATCTCGGGAGCGGCCAAGAGGGGGGTGTCCAAGAGGGGGGGGTGCAAATCATGACCGGCGGCATGTGCGCGGCCCAGCGGGGGGGCCAGGGACGTAATGAAATAAGAAGAGGCGCCATGGGATCTAGGGAAATATCATGGCCCCCGCCATGATATCCACCCCCCCCTAGTCATCACCCCCCTCTTTTCCGCCCCCGACAATCTGCGTGATGAGAGCTGTGCCGGGCCAGCTCCGAGCAAGGCGCGCCCGCGAGGCGGCGCGGGCGGCAGTCGCGGCGCCCTCCCGCGGAGCCCGCGCAGGCCACGGGGCGCCCTGGAGGCGGCCACGAGGCGGCACCGTCGGCGACGCAGCGCAGGCATGCTGCGTTCCTGCTCGCATCGCACACCGCCAGAGGCGGCGGAGAGCTTGAGAGATTTGGGCGCCCGAATTATCTGGGGTAACTCGGGCCCGGGGTAACTCGGGTTCGGATTCCCGAAAAACAAGCCCGAGTTAACCCTGACCCGAGTTACCCCTGATGATTCGGGGCTCTGAGAGATCCCCCTACAACAAGTGCGGTAACGTGGCGAAAACCCGGCCAATGCACGCGGCGGCGGGCGCAATACGAGTCAACAGCAACCACGACCGCCCCTCCGTCGCTGACTTCCTGTCGAGTACGCATCGCGCATCGCAGAAAGGGACAGCCACCCCGCATCGCAGAAAGGGACTGCACTTGAGCGAGGAGGCGAAGAAACGCTTCATCGAATTCTGAACCGGTTCGACGCGGCGCCTGGCGCCACGATGCGGTTCCTCACGAACATCACATTCCTGGACAAGCTGGTGGGTGGGGTTTACCCACTTCGCCTTCTAGCTCTGTGCCCCCGGCTGTGGCCATGATGCGCAAGCCTTTTTTGAAAGCAACGCAGGAAAGAACACGATCATTGTTTCGAGACAGGGGGGTCCAACAGGGCGAGCGTCTTGAAACCGTTTTGGTTGCATCTGGTGCTCCTAGTGGGTGTTCTCAAGCATCTTGGGGGCTCTCCAGCAGCCTCAAAGGTGGCCGCTGGATTGAGGAGATAGGGTAATCAGCATCGTCGTTGTCATGATGATGATGATGATGATGATGATGATGATGATGATGATGATGATGATGATGATCGTCGCCATCATCGTTACAATCACCATTCTCATCAGCATCCGCATCCTCAGCATCATGACCAGCACCACCGCCAGCAGTTCCATCATCATGACCACAATGATCATCCTCATCATCAGTAGCGAAAGCAAACGCATCAACATCAGTATCAACATGGAACTCAACACTATGATCACCATCATCGTCATCCTCCGTATTATCGCAACCATGAGCATCAAGATCGCCTACATAATCACCTTGGACACATGTTGGTCCGTCCTGAAAATCTTCTGGCAGTCTGCTGGGAGCCTGTTTAGGGCCTGTTGGGGTCGTGTGGAAACCAGGTGAGCTTTCTAGGGCAGGGACAGTAGCATCATCATAACCATTCACATCATCAGAATCCGCATCATCACAACCATCATCAACATTATCATCGTACTCCTCCTTATCATCGCAACAACGCGCACCAATATAAGGGTCATGGCCATACTGTCTAGCATTGTCGTCATGCAATCGACCAGATGTTCCCGGAAAAGCCCCCGGGATCATCAGACCTGTTGCGTGTGAGAATCTCGGACGGGCCGTCGGGAGTGAAGGAATCCAGCAGCAATTCGGATGCGCCCCTCGGGGAGCATTGTCGAGGTATGGGCGCTCGAACCGGGCCTTCGGAAAATCTATCGAAACTCCCTCTGTGCTCGTGAGAAGTGTATTGGGGTCTTTCGGAGTCCCGCTTCGGGGCGTTTCGAGGACTGTCGTAACGAACGTCACTAGCAGCAGCATCAGCATCAGTACTATCAGTATCATCAGTGTCATCGCCATCGTCGTCGTCGTCATCCTCATCCTCATTGTCATCATCGCCATCACCATCCTGATCAGCATCACCATTTCCATCCTAGCAATGGTGGGAATCGTCCTCACGGCCACTATCAACATCACCATCACGATCGCCATCACCACCATCACCACCATCCCCACAACCACCATCGTCACGTTCATCATGAACATCATACGCTTCACCATTACCAATATCAATACCAACATGATCAGCATCATCATCATTTGCATCTCCACAACCATGAATCAAAAAGTCACTATGATAACCTCACCATCAATACGTTGTCGTCGTGCCGTTGGCCTGATGTTCCCGGAAAGTCCTACGTGAACCTCAGGCCTGCTGCGTGTGGGAGGCTGGCCGCCGGGACTGAAAGATGCTGGCCTCCTGGGGTTCTCTTGGAAGCGTATTAAGAACTGCTACGGGGCGTGGTGGGGCCGTCTTGGAGGCATTGGTACCTGCCTGGGGCGGTCTGGATGCCATCTAGGGGTGTCCTGTTGGTCTCGAGGGCCGTATCGAAACCATCTTCGGCCGTATGGGGACTATCTGGAAAGATTTGAGAGCTCCCAGTCGACCGTCTTGGCTGGGGCTCTTCTGAGGCAACTCTTGGACCATCCTGAGGCCTGGGCGAACAAAAAACCAACCTTCAGGAACCTATGGTTTCCCTGGGTTTGTGAATGGTGTTGGCCTGCTGGGAGCCTCTTGGAAGCCTCTTGAAAACCTTGAGAGGCCATATTGGGGCCATCTCGAACTGTCTGGGACCGGCTGGTGGCTAACTGGGACAGCTGGCGGGCTCGAGGGCCGTCTCACAGTCATCTTTGGTCGTCTCGAAACCATCTGCACATGTCTTGGGGGCCCCAGTCGATTGGACGCTATGGAGCTCCTCGTGGGCTATTTGTGGACCATCCTGAGGCCGGAGAAACTCCTCTGAAGCATAAAGGGTAATTCTGGGAAAATCTGTCATGGTTTCCTTAGCGTTTGATTGAGTTTCGTCTCCTGCAAACCTGCTGAAGCTGTTTGGTCGCCTCTTGGGGCCCCCACTGGCCTTCTTGGGGCCATCCTGAGTTGTCTGGGGCTGCCTGGAGGCCATCTGGAGCCATCTTGGCGGTCTCGAGGGCCGCATTGAAACTATCGTCGGCCGTCTCGGAGCCATCTCAAAAAGTCTTGGGGGCTCTGGTCGACCGTCTTGGGCATTCCCAAGGCTCCTCGACGGCTGCCGTCGGACCATCCTGAGGCCTCAGAGGCTCCCCGGAAGCGATGAGGCGAGATCTTGAAAAAACCTGGATTGTCCCGTTGCCGATTGAGTTCGAAGGATTGTCGCCTCCTGAGGGCCTCTTGAGAGCCTCTTGTGGGCCTCTTGGGGGCCTCGTGGGGCCGCCTTGGGGCCATCTCGAGCTTTCTCAGGCATCTGGGGCCGCCTGGGCGGGCTCGAGGGCCGTGTTGGGGCTTTCTGGCGCGGAAGAGACGGAGCCAGGCGTTTTCAAGTGCAAGCTGGGGTCTGGCCGCGTGTTCTTCGATGTGTGCCCGCCGAGAGGGGTTGTGCAAGCTTGCTGTTGGCTTCAGCCGGGGTCCTCCAAACGAGGGCGGTGATGCCACCTTCGGCTCGGGCACGGATGGCGCGCGCGCGCCGCCGATGTGGCGCGCGCCCCTGTGCCCCAGATGAGCCGCCATACCGCTGCATGGCACCTAGAAGATCTCTGCCAGCTTCCTTGGAAACAAGTGTTGCGTCGTCGTCGTCGTCGCTCCCAGTCGACTCCCTCCCAGCCCCCCTCTGTCCCTCCTAGATCGATAAATGATTCACTGCGTGGAGCTCCCCATATGTGCATCGATTTGCATGGACTGGGTGTGAGTAAGTCTGAATATGAGTATGATGTGTACGAGTCTGAGCACAAGTGAGTCTGGGACATCCTCGCAATCTGTCCCCCCTTGGGATGCGAAAGCAAGAAAGTCTGAGTATGAGTACAGTCAGTACGAGTCTAACTCTGAATGGGTCTGAGTACGAGTGAACTTGACTACGAGTGAATATGAGGGTGGGTGGATCTGAGTGTGAGTGATTCTGAGCGTGAGTAAATCTGAATGTGAGTGCGTCTGGGTATCAGTATGATGGCTATGAAACTGGCCCTGAGTGGGTCTGAGTACGAGCGAGTCTGACTACGGATGAGTCTGAGGGTGGGTGGGTTTTAGTGTGAGTGAGTCTGAGTGTGCGTAAGTTTGGGTGTGAATGAGTCTGAGTATGAGTATGATGAGTGCGAGTCTGAGTATGAGTGAGCCTGAGCACGAGTGAGGTTGAGCATAAGTGAGTCTAGGACATCCTCGCAATCTGGGCCCTCTGAGAGTGCGGAAATCCCATAGACATCCTCAGAATCTGCTTTGACAGCAAACGAGTCTGACAACCAAAACACGCAAACCGCTTGAGACATCCTCGAAATCTGCCCCCCCCCACCCCCCCACCCCCTGGGGTGCGAGAACCAGCGCCTCGCCTGAGATATCCGCAGAATCTGCTCCGAAAGCGGAGGATGTTGAGGACCAAAACAAGCAAACCGCCTGAGACATCCGCAACAGTTGGACATCATCATCATCATCATCATCATCATCATCATCATCATCATCATCATCATCATCATCATCATCATCATCATCATCATCAGCATCAGCATCATCATCATCATCAGCATCAGCATCATCATACCCATCCATCATTCACAATTTCCATCATACTCACATCATGCGCTCACCATACCATGGTCATCATCATGACAATCATCATCATTGTCTGGTGCATAGAGGGAGGAGGGGAGGGACTCTCTTGGTGCGGCGCGGTCGCAGAATAACAATAACCCCATCCTTTGGATATGGGGGAACAACGTGCACAGCGTTTGGCGACCTCGTTGCAAGGAAACGCTGTGTGCTTGTTCGTTGTTTAAGGGGGCTGGAAAGCCAGGAAACAGAGTGGATGTATATATTGTTTTTACGCCTGGTTTTGTAATCTCAGGGGGGAGTGCTGGGAGGGAGGCCGCGACGAGCAAGGGGACCTGCAAAACCAAAGAACCGAAGTGCTCCCCGGCTTCCCATACAAACGCCAACAACGATAACAACGACAACAACAACAGCAACAGCAACAGCAACACCAACAACACCAACAACAACAACGAGCACCCAAACACACAGCGTGTCCTTGCACAGGGGGGCGCCAACTACTGTGAATGGTTGGTTTTGATCGTCTGGGAGACGTAGGGAAGGGTGGTGGGTTGGAGGCCGCAGCGAACATTGGGGCCTGAAAAACGACATTAACGAGACGAACGCAGTGTTTCCGAGCGTCCCATACGCCACAACACAAACACACACACACACACCGTTTCCTTGCACCGAGGGCGCAAGACGCTGTCTACTCTTGCTTTCGTGTTGCTGCAAAAGAGGGGGAGGGGGAGGAGGAGAAGGAGGAGAAAGAGAAGGAGAAGGAGACCGTTCGTGCTGCAGTCGGGGGAGGAGGAAGAGGAGGATGAACGGGGGAGGAGGAGGAGGAGGAGGATGAGGAGGAGTAGAAGGACGACGACGACAAGCTTGATCTTCAGTGGCGGTTTTATAGTTTTGGTGGTTCGGTGCTGGAGGGGGGGAACCATACATATATACACACGCACACAAATACACCCATGGCACACAAACAGCCTCGCATCTTCCTTGCCTTCGAACCCCCCTCCAAAGGCCTGCCAATCTCAGCCGATGTCTTACCGTTTGCCGCAGCGGGGGGAGGAGCGGCGGCGGGGAAGGGGGGAGACACGAGCCCGTCTCAGCCAGGTCACCCGACTTCGCACGCCGCGCCGCCCCGCGGTACGCGGCACGGAGTCATCTCTTTATCATTGCACCGCCGCCCAGGCGAATCTTTTCCTCGCCAGCAAGAGGGAGATGCGGGTGACCTAGCTCTCTGTAACTCTCTCCCTCTCTCTCTCTCCCTCTTTGTCCCCATCTCCCCAGCACTCCATCTCTACCTCTCTCCCCACCTCTCTCTCTCTCTCCCCCGCTTCTATCACTCTCTTTTGTCACCTGTCTCTATCTACCGTTTTCGATGCTCTATTTATTTATATATATATATATATGTATATATATATATATACACATTTATACATATAGATGTATGTATGTCTCTCTCTCTCTCTCCCTCCCTCTGTTATTACCTCTTTATGTATCTCTCTCTCTCTTTTGTTTGGTCTCTCTCTCTCTTTCTATCCCCCCTCTCTCTCCGGATCGCTTACCACCCGCTCCAGAATCTGAAGGCGGGCTTTCGCTGTGGCCTGTCCCCTGGCGGAAAACAGGAGCACAGCATACTCATGGCCCAGGCACTGAAATGCACAAGCGGTCACAACGCGCCGGTTGGGCTCGCGATGACAACGCTCAGCGGGGACTTGCGAGCGCTGATCAGAGCGACCTCAAGTCGCAGGCCCTTCAACTAAACCGACTTTCACAATCCCGTTATGCTGAAGAGGAGCTGGCGGGCCGTCGTCATCGGCGCCGTCTCCATCAGCCGTGTAGATCCAAGGGCTAACGAGGTCCACTGGAAGCGACTGGTTTGATTCTGTATTGCGGCCATGCCAAGCAATCAGGCACGGGATTGGGGAGGAGGCAGGAGGAGGCAGGAGGAGAGGAGGAGAGAAGATGAGGGCGCATGAGCAGGAGGAGGAGGAGGAGTAGGGAGGGAGGACAGGGAGGAGGAGGGAAGAAGGAGGGGCAGGAAGAGCGACCCCTGTGACTGCGCTGGGGACGCACAACCATGCCCACACCTGCGGCGGTACGTCTTGCCGAAAGCACGTGCCTCCTCCGTGGGCGCAGACACCGCCAAAAGACAGGCCCGTGCCAGCGTCGATGCGTCGGGGTCCCCTGATCTGTGATGCCCCCGCCCCCCCCCCTCCCCTGTGACACTGCCTTGCCATCGCAATGTCGCACGCTTCCCCCCTTCCTGCTCCATCCCTTCTCCTTCTAGGTCACGCCCCAGGACGTGCTGGCAGGGCGGGCCGAGCGTTTCGCCTGAGACTTCCTCAGCAGTTCTGATCCTGAAGCTCGAGCATTGCAGCGGCTTCGCACGTAAAGGGCGCGCCGTTTTCAAAATTAGTGCCACGCACCTTCGTCTGCAACGTGTGCAGCAGTTTCACGGGTGGAGGGCGGCCAGTCTTCCAGATGTGCCTCTCGCCTTAGCGCCGACCGCATTCGTTTGGAACGTTCTACCCCAGCTTCAAGGATGGAGGGTGGCTCCTTTTCAACATGTGGCTCGCGCCTGAGCGTCGCGTACACGTGTCTCGAAAGTTTGCAGACAGCTTCAAGGATCCGCATTGTTAATATCCCGTGGATGATGCTCAGGCACGGTTTGGGATTACCAACATGCAACAGCGTCGACGTCCCACGAATGGCTTTCTAGCGCGGTTACGGATTGCCTGAACGTGACAATCACATTGATTCGCTGCGCTTGAATCCCAAGACATGTGTTGTTGCGCGATTGGGGGTTCTCAAGCGTTTGTTTTCGAATGGGACACTTGCCGCAATCAAGCGCAATTGTGGATGGGCCTGTGAAAAGGGAACTTGGAGGGAGGGTGTATTGCAACATCGTTGATGCGGCCTTGCTTGCATGCTGGTCCTCAATCCTCTTCCCCCGCATGATCATTCTCGTAATCCTCGTACTGCTTCTAACCCTGCTGCCCCGCCTCCCCAACCTCACTTCATCGCTGGCATCCGCTCTCTTTTCTCACTTCATCCCTGTCCTCACTCCCTGTCCTTCTCCGCCCTCCCTGTCCTTGGCCCGAGCATGGTGCCCGAAAGCCAAGGCGCCCAGCCTGCGCGAGGCGCTTGAGGCGCACCAATTCAGCACTCACTCTCGCTCCATCTCCTCCAGAGTGCTGGCCAGGTTAGCGAGCGTGGGGCGCTGGGAGGGTCCAACAGGAAGGCCGATCGGCAGCCTCAGTCGGGCTGGGCCGAGTGCTGCAGCTGCGGCAGGTGCGAGTGGGACAATGTCCTGCAGCAGGAGAAAGGGCGGTGCAAGTCCGACGTCTGGATCGGCACTTCGAAGCAGCATCGCAGGAGGTGTAACGATATGGCAGTCCGCAAATTCGCCCTCCGACCTTCGCCATTCGACAGGCGAGCCGGTTTTCGAAGAGCACCCCGCCGCCCGACCAGAAGACCCCGCGTTCCAGCAGGCCCTCGCGCTCAAGGCGGGCCTTGCTATGCTCGGCGGCGAGCGAGGGGGCGGGGGAATCAGAAGGAGAGGACCTCCTCAGAAGGCGGTGGGACTTCTCAGACGCCCTCGCGCAATTTGAGCAGTCTTCTGTGACCTCGGGAGGAGGAGGAGGAGGAGGAGGAGGAGGAGGAGGAGGAGGAGGAGGGCGGAGGAGGAGGAGGAGGAGGAGGAGGAGGAGGAGGAGGAGGAGGAGGAGGCGTGGGGACGTCCGAGCCTCCTGAGAAGGCCCACCCCGTCTCGCTTCTGCCCCGGGGCGCACTGCCGACGTGCGGCAGATTCCCCAGGCACAGGTGCAGGCGCTCGAAGCCGCGGCAGCGCCGCCGAGTGTCTCGTTTGGAGAGCCCCTGCGCAGGGCGCCGGCAGCGGTCGAGGACGCAGAAGCGAAGCGCGACCAGGCCGCGTCCGCCCTGCTGCGCGCGCAGGTCCTGGACGAGGCCACCGACCGCGAGAAGCAGGCCGCCCGCCAAGGCGTTGGCGCATGCCGAGGCTCGCGGTAGAGGCGCTCGCCGTGAACGGTGACGAACGCCTCTCCAGGCAGGCGGTCGACAAGGACGACAACCTCCTCTTCTGTCAACTGGGACAAGACGTTCTTCGAGTCGCTCGGTTCGCTCTCGAATACGAGGAGAGTGACCGATCAGTGCTGCGCGACCTTGAACGAGCCTTGAAGGCAACCCGCAGTGATTCGTCGGAAGAGTCGGGCCAGGTCGACGAGTGGCCCGCCAAACTCGGCAGGGTGTACAAGGCGAGCCATGCAGCGCATGGCCAAGAAGCGCAGGAGCGGCCTGACGGGCACGCCCATGCTGCCAGCGCTGCTGGCGACGCGGAGGCAACTACTGGGGGGTCTTCGTCGGAAAGACTCGGGAGAATGGAGCCCCACTGGTGGGCTGCTGTGCCGGATGAGGCCGCGGAATAGGCGGTCTTCAACCAGATGTTAAGCGGGAGTCAGCCGGACTGAGCGGAATTGCGCCGATGTAAAACAGAATTCAGCCCAGTGCAAAAACATGGTAAACATCACACATAAATCAGATTAACCAGATTGTGTAAACACCAGCGCAAAACCATATTAACCATACCAACACAATGAAACCATAACCAGTTCACATCGGAATGCACCATTAAACCACACTTGAACCAGTGCTATGTTATTCCCATCCCACTTAAGGACCACATCCCAGAAATAGGTTCGAGCACCCAGAACAGTTTCGCAAGAGCGCCGAAACAGTGTCGGGCGAGTGTCTCCCAGGGCCCGACACGTGAAACCCCTCGAGTTTCGGCATTTGTTCGGCGCTCGAAATTCGTCCTGGTGGTCAAGGCCAGAGTAGGTTGGAGCATCACAAAACCAGTGTAACATCAGAGTTGGACCCCCCGGGAGCTGCATCCGAAGTGGGCGGAGCCAGCGGCGCCGCCACCCGCAGCGCCGAGGGCAGCTCCTCGCGGACCGCGCCAGGCAGAGAAGCAGAGCGCCGAGGGTCGGCGGCCACGGAGAGGCAGCAGCCCACGGGGAGGAGAGCACGGGTAGAGGGCCACATGCGAACCCTACCCCTACCCTCCCCCTCAGAAGTCGTGGGGGGTAGAGGCAGGGTTCGCGTGTGGTCCCCTAACAGGACCTCCAGGGACGGAAATGCAGCGCCCGAGCGGAGCCAAGAAGGCGGCGCAGCTCGCAGCAGCCAGGGGACAGGAGGCAACTGCTGGGAGGCCTCGTCGGAAGAATTTCGGGAGAGCGGGGCCCGAATGGGGGGCTGCCACGCCGGATTAGGTCGGGGAGGAACCGGGACTCAGCCGGACGAGGCGGGAGCGAGCCAGATTTCGGACCAGGGCAAAGTCAGAATTTAACCTCCCAGGAGTTGCATCCGAAACAAAGGGAACGGCAACGGCAGCAACGGCGGTAGACAGTGACCATCGCAGGAGGCCTCCGCGGCAGAACAGTCGCAGCCGAGTGCTGCGCGAGCGCCTCCTCTGTCCTTCGGGTCCTGACGATGCCCATGGGGTGAACACCTCTTGCGCTCTTGCGCGGCGGGAAAATGCTGAAGACAAGGTCCGAATGCGGATCCAACCGGCATGGGCAGGAAGCCCGAAGGTTCTGACCAGTTAACGTTCCAGTCGTTTTAGTGACTCTGCTATCTGTGAAACTCGTCCTGAGTCAAAATAGGCGTTAGCGCCATGGGTGGAGTCGGCCACTGAGTCGAAGACTCAGCTTTTCTCCTATCCCGCTCGCGGGTCGGGAAAGGCCAAGACGGACGCAGGGCAATCCCGACCCAACGAGGGGGGGGGAACGGATATTTATGCAAGAGCCATGTTCAAGTTAGTTCTCTTGCGTCTTCCAAGGGCCCGTGGGCCGATCTTGCAGCAGATGGGACCAAGGCCCTCGACGGTTCACTGCTGTAGCTTGCCATCAGGAGGGTTTTCTTTTGATCTCGTCACTTTTCTACGGACTGGCCGACGAAGGAAACACTGCGGGGACCTCCAGGGGTTCTTCCGTCTTGGCGCCCTGCTCTTGCAAGACAGGTTGCCGTGGATAGTACAGGCGGACTCGATTGGACAGGACACGCGAGAGGACACAAGACCCTTTTGAGGGCCACATTGCCACAGGAATGTAGGAAGCATGGGTCGCGAGACACAGGACGCAAGGGTACCCTTGATTTGGCAAGGTCGACCTACTAATATGGGCCGACTGTAGTCGGCAGTTCCAACATGTCCGCGGCCACTCTCAGTCGAGCAAGTTCTCTCGACAAGGTTGGAGCAGCAGTGCTCCAGGCACCAGCCGGCTACACCTGTGCGCTCGATGGCGGGACTCACACCGACTGCGTGCTCACATTCCACCGCCAGCGTACCTTTTATACCTCGCAGGTAGAAGTCGCCCTGGATGTTCCTTGGAAGCCGCATGGTTGCGTCTCGTTCAGTTGGGGTCGTCGCCCCAACACGTGCTTCGACAATAACTTCGCATGGCGGGTAACTTCCCCAAGTGCCGCGTCCACAGACCCTCCCGCAAGAAGGGTCCAGGTCCCATCGGAGTAAGGTCGCTGCCAACCAGCGGAAAGTGCGGGCCCGCTCTGTCGTGGACGGGCAGAGCGCTGAGCTGTGCGGTGATCTCTGCGACACGTCTCATGGCCAGCGCAGGCGGGCGCCGCGATCGCTCACGACCAGTGGAGCTGACGATGGCGGCGACGACAGCGAAACCCGCGGGGCGCCCCTGTAGTTGTTCACCCTCCTCGGGCCTTCTCCTCCCTCGCTCAGACAATCTGACCCTGACGACGGCCTGCTTCCAGCAGCAAGTGCAGCGGCTGAGGATGACGAGCCTCCGGTTTCAACACGCACCCAGTCGCCCCACC